AACTGATTTTGGTGCAAGTGTGATCAGAGTCATCTGCTGTTCTGTAAGTAACTCAAGGAGAAAACCCAAAAATCGAATATGTTAAATTGAATGAACAACATCCTCATTGGTCTTGAGGAGAAAACAAGTGTGAAGAGGTGTTGTAAATGAAAGTAAAACCCTGCCTTAGGGTGGTTGGAATTTTTTTTTGTTGAAGAGAAAATGTTTGAAATTCATGAAAATTATATTAATGAAAAAACCAGAATTATTATTGGTTTGGAAATCATGTAGATTTTTGTCAATATCTAATAAAAAGGCATATATTTCACTGAGGTAATCAATATCTGATCTTTTGTTGAGGCAATTATTGGATTGTAAAATAAATGACATTTCCAAAAACAATCTTTTAGATGTGTTTCTTTCAATTGATAACATTTTTGTTGAATTATAGTCCATTTTATGACCTTCTTTGGACACATGGTTACTGAGAGCACATCTCTCAGGATGTAATCTACTATCACTCCTATGTCAACTAATTCTGTCTTTAAGCAATCTTGACGTTTGACCAAGATTCCACCACCTGTATATTCTGATATCTTTCTATCGTTTATAATTTTAAAAAATGAAAAAAAAGCTTCCAATTCTAATCAGTTGTCTCCCTTGATAGCGTATTCACTTTTAATGTGATATATTCATTTATTACACCCGATTCAATGAACCAATGAAATTAATTTTATTAATGAGGGAGTCTGAAATTTACTTATCGGATTATAGTGACCAGAAATTTGCGTGTACTTACCTAAATGTCTACTCCTACAAAATCTAATGGTCCTCATTGTTTGAGCCAGCATATGCATCTTCTCAAAGTTCACCAGTCCGTCCAAACAAGTCTTGTTCCCTTCGTGAGTAAATGTCATATCTTTCAGTAATAACGGCATGAAGGGCACTACAGGAGGCTGTAGCTTTCCAACGCTCACTCTGTATGCCCGGTGATTGCGGCTTGGGTCGATCAGTGATTCAAATTCGGTGTAGAGTTTTCGAAATTTCGAGGGAAGTTTTTCCCAGGTATTGGAAAGGCGAGAAACGGCAACGTTGCTAAGTCCCATTACTATTGCACAGAAGGCATTGAGGTTTTGGTACTCTTTACAACTGGAAAAATTAAAATGGGGATCAATAGGAGCTGAACAACGGCTTCATTATGTATTCAGATAATAACATAATGAAGAACATTACACTGCGGTTTCTACGAAATGACCAGTATTTGATTATTTCATTTGTGAAATTTTGAAATAATTTCATCTTCAGTAAAGACACATTGGTGTCAATTTTTTTGACAGTGCTTTTTGTACATTATGTACACTGTAGTCTAGAACGTACAAATGTATGTATAAGGTGAATATGACTCCGCACTTGTACTATTTATGTAATAGGTAATGATTTATGTTAGCAAGACGCTTTGATAGTTATTCTATCATAAATGGATGCATATATTCCTTTTCCAATGAAACGACTTTCTAATGGCAAACCTTGGTTCAACAAAAATTTCGAGCAAGCAGTCGCCTCCAAAAATCTCTTATGAAATCTAGTCACCTGTATCTACTGCTTGAAGTACTATTTACTAATACCTTACTTTTGTGCCTAGAGCGAAACGGGATGCTACTTCAACTGAGTTCTTGTTTTTTGAACAACTATTACCTGCTTGCTCATTTTTCTCAGATCATGCGGCTAAGAATTCACTACTTTTAGTTTTCTTATTTCCTCAAACTTTAAAAGAGAGGTATATTTTTTCTCAGTTCAAGAGAACATGAGAGTCTGAGATTTTAGATACAAATATTTTAAAAATTAAAACCATTAAGAAAAAACAAAAGTCAAAATATCAAAATTTCTTTAATTATGTTATTCAAACAATAACTGAATGGTTACGAATCTACTTGGTTACCAATTTCTACTTATGATGGCTTCCTTGCCTCTATTAGTAACTTCATCAGTTTTTTATCACATCACATATCCGCCAATGCAATAAAATATACCAGACATATAGGTGAAACACTATATATACTTGTTACTCAGCGAAAATGAGGTATTCTCTGAGATCTGAAATTATTCTTTTTCTATTCAATTCTCTTGGAAAAATATGAAATTAATTATCGTCATAATAAATATGTGGAAGAATTGTGAACTCTCTCCGTGAAATAAATGTGAACTCTCCTCAGACAAGTATTGTGGTTAGTATAAGTAAATATAACTCATTGCTTTGGATTTTCTCTGAAGTCCTGTACTTCTTGTACGTCCCTTTTATTATTTTTGGCAATCTCATAGGTTCCGCTNGTTTTAAAATCTTTTTTATTTTTCAATAAATATAACTAAGAGAAATAAGGGCTCATCCTCAAATGAAGAGAAACTGGTAAACCTCTCCTTAGCCTACGTAACATTCGGTAACATTATCCTTGAATTCCCTCTCTTATATATACTTTTTATTATAAGTTCACCTCAGATAAAACTTGAGGAGAGCCGCAGGAATGTCTATTATTCAAAATTTTTATTGTAGTTGTATATACATTTTAATAGGTGTCCTTTCGATTTTTTACGGTACAATGTACAATGTAATATAGAAAACAGTTTAAAATGAATAGGAAATTGGCTTACCGTATTTTATTCAACGAAACTATATGTCATATTTCATAGCAGGTGAGTTATAAATAATTAAGTTTCCTTACCAATACATTCTAAACTAGGAATTTGATCAAATCCCGAGATCTTATTTGAAAGTTAATAACATTTCAAAAAACTCGTATTGATTTTATAATAATAATTTTGTGCTTCTTTTCAAACTCAAAATTTAATTCGAACATATTCTAATTTTGAACTGAGATGAACTGAACTTCAAACTTGAAATTTATTGAATTTCTATTAAAAACATTCTTGGCCGTCGTCTACCCATTTGTACTGATAAAAAGTTATTGAATAAANATTCATAAAATTTTGCATATAAAATGTTTCATCTGGTGACGTTTTGAAGTCTATCCATTTTTTTTATCCAACCTATTCAAATCAAAACATTATAATTTGTAGTTATAATTCGTCTTTTGATGTCAATCAATTTGATATTATCATTATTGACACTGATAATATCAAATTGATTGTAGGTTTGATAATGAATATAGATAAAGTTTTCGAAACGTCACCAGATGAGTATACAAGTAGATTAATTTTCCACGAATAGAAACTTGAACATTTGAATTTCGGGTTGAACCGCGCTCAAAGTTTTGCATTGTTCGACGTTTCGGCTTCGACTTTGTAGTCATTTTCAAGAAGTAGAAAAGTGTGGCTGTACTGAGAGACACACTTTAGGGTTTTGATGTTCTGGTTTGGCCAAACCTTCGAGACGGTATGACCCTCATTGACCCATGTTTCACCCAAATAAAAAATAGATTTACCCAGTATTCTGGCTTTTTTTACTTATCTTGAATAGTTCCTTCTCCATTCTACAATCTCTGATTTTTCTATTGACATGCTCTTTCTATTTTGTTTTCCGAAAGTGAAGTTCAGCTCTTATAATATCTTCTATAATCTAGTTCTTCTTATATCAGGAAAGAAACTGTTTTCACGAATAACTGACGGACGAATGCTGACAGTTTCTGACGCTTCACGATTCCCGAACAACTAGCTTCCATGTTTTATATCTTTTTATTCAACGCGCTCTCAAAATAAACTGAAGAATATCACTAAGACTAAGACCAAGACTAACTCCTTCATCGTGGCCTTTAAACTCCCAACAGAAAATAATAAAGCCAGATCACCCCCACTTATGAAAGCAGTGTGTCTGTTGGACGGTATAATTCAAAGAAATATCTATTTTTATACTTATTTGTTGGAAATTGTCTTGGTTACTACTGGACATATTTCCTCATTTGTCGTAGTTGATGTGTAATTTTGTTTGTTATGAATGACATTTTTCAAGAATAAATTTTGTATATTCATTCATTCAATTCTTTGAGAGTAAATGATTTGAATGCAGTACGCCTATACATATACTGCTGTTGTTTCTCTCATTTCTGGGCAGACTTTAGAAGGAATTATTCCTTTTTTGTTGCATTCCTCCTGTTCAAATCTCTGCGGTATTTAACTTGTATACATAACCATATAATTGCGTTCAGTTGCGTTATTCGCTTGCGAAAAAGAAAACATTTTGCGGATAAACATGGAGTAACGTTGTATTAAAACAAAATGCACTGAAACTTGTGAAAAGAACCAGGAGCAGTTTACGATTTATTTCCACAATTCATTTCCTTTTCGAATGAATACATTTTTATCTGAAATGGTTTAGACTTTTTGTCCTGATGTCCAAAATTTATGTACTTTTCAGTTACTGATATAATCATTAAAATAATAATGCTAGGGTTTCAAGCTACCATTCCACAGGTCTCGTTACTGGACTTCGCGAAGGAGATCGATTTGACCTAAGAATTATTAAGTAGAGGCTTCTGAACTCTATTTTGTCACTAAAAGTGTGGTGTGATTATTATTTTTTCTGGAACAAAACTTCAAAGACTTACGAAGTGTACCAAATAATTTTGATGAAAACCATCGTTTATAACTTCTCATCAGCATTATGTAGAGTATTTGCCTCTGGGCATTTTATATAATAGTTTATGTAATTCATTTTACTGCTTTCTTTGTTGACGTTCTTATTTTTTTTTGAAATTTGTTTATATGCTGATGGTCTGATGTTTATATGCTATTTTTGATGGTCGTTGCTTCTTATCGTCAGGCGCATTTGACCAATGCTTCCCCTGTTGGTTAACAGGAGCTTCGTCGGGGGGCGCAGCGGTCTTGCACGAAGCAATGCTGCCACCCATTTCTTTTTCTACCTTCTTTTTTTCATTATAAAAACAATTCTGGAGTCGCCTCCTGCTTGGGAGACCTTTTGGTTATCCGAACCACCCCGGCCTGGATACCGGCGTGAATAAAGGGGGCCCTTTATTCATCACTTTTTTTAACGACACTCACACATTTCCGTAATTAACAAAATGGACTAGCACAACACAAAAACGGAGTCCCACGATAGCACATGGCATCCGCGTACCTTCTTTGTGGGCGGACGTTATCAGCACGCCCGTCCACTACGACGGAACTAATATGGATCGGTAACCGTGAAACGAACGATTTTCAAGGCAATGTCTTACGTAGGAGCATCATTTTGAGTCATTTTAAAATTTATGTACTGAGATTTTTCCTCAGTAGTTTCTAGTGAAAAATTTTTCACTCTTATAGATTTCAGTATTGTTATGTGCTTTTTCCACAAGAACGAAAAGCTTACTAGTGAAGTCTTACTAACTCCCTGTCGAGGTACAGTCAGAGAATGAGTTCGATTAGATTTTTTCATGGAACTTTTTACGTAAGGAAGTTTTTCCTATCATTTAACCCCCGGAAGTTTAAGAAGACATATATAAATGAAAGAAGAGACATTTATTTGATGGAATTGACCTGTACTTGATGAAAATCCATAACTTATTCGCGTAACACTTTACTGTGAGATTTTCACTGGACAGTTTCCAAAACCGCATCACATATTTCGCTAAACAATAGCTTCCTCGCATGTTTTCATACTCAGCTAGTGTATAGCCAAACACGTGTTGCGGTTTGGTGAATTATCCAGTGAAAATTTCACGATGGAATGCTACTTGAATGACTGACATATATTGACAATCCATAAAAGTTATATACCACTATAGTGCATGATATACCTTACAATAACATTATTCAATTGAAAACAAAGAATTTCAACTTTTACAGCTGAAGATAACTGTATGAAGGATATTACCGGGATTTCTGGCCGTGGTCTGCAGGTGTTTATGCCTGACGGTTCGTCTACTATTGCGGTAGACATTTTCAAAGGTGATAAGGTAACGGTCGCAATACCCGAGCTAGTGCTCTGGTTCTTGTTCCTGTTGTATTAACTACTATTTCCGTACTGAGCGCACTATTTATATCATTTTCAATTGTAGTACCTGTTCGTGCACCTTTACGGAAGCAAGCTTTTATCAATAATTGTCTCCTCTTTTCTATTGAAATTATCTCTATGCTTTTGAATATCTATTGCCTCTCTATATATTCTTGGGTAGTAATTATGGGTACTGTCGAGTATA